TGGAGAGGGCGAACAAGCTGAATGACTTCTTCAACAGGTTCAACCAGCCCTTGTCCCCCCCACCCCCACCCTCACCGCAGCCATCTCTCCTTCTTCCCTCTACACACCTCCCCCCCAGACACCACAACACCCCCCTCCTCCTCCCCCACCTCAACACAATCCCCGCCTCACATCACCACAGGCCAGGCCAGAGGACAGCTGAGGAAGCTCCGGCCCAGGAAAGCAGCAGGCCCGGACAAAGTGTGTCTGAGACTACTGAAGACCTGCGCTGCAGAACTGGGGGAACCACTACAACGGATCTTCAACCTTAGCCTGCAGCTAGGGAGATTGCCTACCCTCTGGAAGACATCCTGCATCGTTCCGGTTCCGAAGAAGAATAGGCCTGATGAAGACGTTGGAGTGGCTCTTCATCAGCCTCCTCAGACCCCAGGTACAACACGCCCAGGACCGCCTGCAGTTTGCGTACCAGCCAGATGTTGGTGTGGAGGATGCCATACTCTACATGCTACACCGAGTCCACTCCCATCTGGATAAGGGAAGCGGCACAGTGAGGATTCTCTTCTTGGACTTCTCCAGTGCCTTTAATACCATCCAGCCCCCTATGCTTCAGGACAAACTAAACCGGATGGGAGTGGACCCCTATCTGGTGGACTGGATCTACGATTACCTCACTGACAGGCCTCAGTATGTCAGGCAGAAGGACACCACGTCTGACACTGAACAGGTTGACATGACGCAAAGAAAAGGAGCTTGAGTCAGCCCAGCTTGTTTCTGCCGTAATTAAACAGAATCTTTCTGAAGATGAAGATGATCACCCTGGTGGAGCCTCTGCTCCTACTCCTACTCACTCATCGCTTCATGAAAATGTAGCCACCTCTTCCTTTTACGACCTGCCTCCCACCAAAATATTTACTCCTGCTCCCCCAAATTTGATGTATGCTGACTCTCAAACTCATTCGGCTTCATCCCCCCTGCTTCCTCAACCTTGCATTCCCAGAGGACTATCAAGGGCCTCCCAAACCCTTCCCCTGCCCCATACAATACAACAAAGCATAGCCCCTGTTAAGCCTCACTCTTTGCCCTCTGTAGTTTATGCCCAAGATGCACCATTATCCATCCCCCATGCATCTTCACAGGCTATACCCTCTTCAATTTCTATGCATCATATACCTGCACCTCCAGTCACTGTCCAAGCCCCTAGTTATACTGCATCCATTCTTGGTGCCAGACAGCCCACTTTCACTAGTAGTCTGCCACCAATCCATGCAATCTCAGCAGCCACAAGTTGTCCACTCATATGTTCAAACTCCCAATGTTATGGATCTGTTCATTGCTTCTGCCTTTGCCTGTAGACCCCTTCCTGTGTTTAAGAGTGGACGAGAGAGTGACCTCCTTGACAATCACCCCCACCTTACTGAGCAGTATAAATATCAGATCCTCTTAAAACATCTTCAACACCCAGGAGCTAAAAAATTGTCAAAATCTAGTATGCATGATGCAAGACCATATTTCACCTAGCACTTCAAGATAAATATGGTCAGCCAAGGCTACTAGTTCAAAGTGAAATTGGAGCAATATTAAATTCCACCATTATTCGCATAGGTGATTTAGAGGCCTTTGAGGATTTTGCCCTTTCTGTCCATGCTCTGGTAGGAATGTTATTGTCCCTAGAAGGCCCTAACGGGTCTGAATTAAGATGTGGCTCTCATGTTGACAGACTCCTCAGTAAACTCCCTGTACACTACAGAGATGGATTTGATGAGCACTGTATTAATCGTGGCATTCGGACTGGGCAGGCAAATGAAACTTACTCCCTCCTCTACCTTTCTACCTGGCTACAAAGTCGAGAGCCAAACATATATCAGAGAGAGCTGTTGAACTCCACAAACAGGAGAGACCACGTACTGGAAAGGAACGCCAGCCCTCCAAACAAACCTCTTCTGTTTACCTTTCAACAACATCTGAAATAGATGGCAGACCAAAAGCCTACAGCAAAGAAAGGGTAAATGTTAATAAGCCTAAGCCTTATTGCCCCCACTGTAATGTCAGAGACCATTTCCTTGGTTCATGTACAGAATTAAAAAAAAGTATCCAAAAATGACATAATGAAATGGATCACAGAGAAGGGGAGATGTAGTAATTGTGGGAGAATGCACATAATGGACAAATGCACCTTAAAGAGGCCATGTAACACATGTAAGGAGCTTCACCTGACCATATAAATGCAAACAAATCCACCACAGTGATGTTCATCACAGTGCTCTTGGACATGTTTGTGAACTGCATAGGTGGCACAGCATGGGCCACAGGCAAGACTTGCCTGTAAGTTAGTAGTTAGACATTCACTTTCCACGCTGTTATCTATCCCCCTGTGCTCATACAGCCACCTCAAAATCCCATATACATGTACTCTGTGATGCCTCTGAGCGTGTTTATGGTTCTGTTGCCTACCTTCAAACTAAAGACAAACATGATCAAACTCATGTCAGCTTAATCATGGCCAAGTCTCGTATATCCTCTAAATGCCAGCTATCTATCCCTCGCCTTGAGCTATGTGCAGCCCTATCTGGTGCCCAGCTGGCTAACCTTCTCAGTTCTGAACTCACAATCCTACTACAGTCAGTGACCCTTTGGACAGATTCCACAACAGTCCTGTCATGGCTAACATCTGACTCCTGTCGCTACAAGGTGTTTGTTGGCACAAGAAATACTGAAATTCAGACTCTGACTGACACAAAGAGCTGGAGATACGTTGACTCGAGGAGTAATCCAGCAGATGACATAACACGGGGCAAAACCCTCCTAGAACTTTCTCAGCAACACAGATGGAATCAAGGCCCTCCATACCTCTTGCTGAACACCAACAGCTGGCCAGTCAATCCATGTGTGCCAGCTGAACCAGAGCCAGTTGAGGGACTTCATGGAAGAGGAAATCCATGTTCTGTGGCACAGTGATGTCAAATGACACAAACCTCCCTGATCTGAATAAGTACGGCAACTGGGATGATTTGATAGAAGAAACAGAAAATTTGCTTTATGGGGCAGTGGATCAGAACTGAAACTGCCAAATGCTACATAAACTCAGAAAAGCATCTTCTGCAAAGGGCCCAATTAGAGTGCTTCCCTGAGGAAGTCAACGCCCTCAGAACTGATAAAGCCATACCAAAAAGTAGCAAACTACTTTCCCTGTCTCCAGAATATGACCCTGATCTTGGTCTCATCAGAGCAGGTCGACTTAGAAGAGCAGAGACCCTTGACAAAGAAAATGTCCATCCAATTATATTGCATCCAAAACATCTCATAACCAAACTCATTATCAAGCATCATCACTGCTCCACCTAGGCCCTGTCCTGGCGGAAATTAGATGCAGGTACTGGATCCTGCCTGGTCACCAAGCCATTTGCCAGCATCAACACCAGTGTCAAGACTGTCCTAGCTAATCCAGTCATTCCCTTCCTCCAGCCCGTCTTAGACTGTTTAAGCCCCCTTTGTGGTCAACAGATTTGTTTGGAAATATTGTAATTTCTTCTTTCTTTGTTTAGAACCATGGCAATCATCATCCTAAAGAAACACTTAATTGGTTAATAAATGGATGACTAATGGATCTCTCTCTCTCTCTCAATAATTTTATAAGGAGTATGGTCTACATCTGCTCTATTTTGAAAACAGTTCTGAGAAAACTTGCCGCTATACAAATAAAATGGAATTAGGTACTTTATATATTCCCATATCATGCTTTCCCTATTCAAACATACCAAACATAAAGGACACATAAAACACAAACATTATTTCCTTCTTTTCCCCTAAACAGTGAGAAGTTAACTAAGGGTCTGTCACCCAACCTAAATACCTCATCCCAACCTCACTGCTTCCCTAAGGTCTAACAATAGTTGAAACTAATAGAAACTATCCAAAATTCAAGGTGGGTCATGTTTATATATTTATGCAAGAGTATAAGCACAAACCCGTAAATAAATTCAAATCCATAGCCTATACCTACATACCTCTATATTTTAACTAAATTTACAATTAATTTGCAAGACGACCTAATATTTAATCCATCTGTTCCACCATCTGTCCTAAACTAAATGCCCACATATATCTGTGACCTCCCTATACCACACCCACACATAGCTATACTAAACAAGGACTATTACAATAATATTGGTAATAATGACAGTAACAATAATATGCTAGATAAGATAAATAATTTATTCTCTTAGATAACCCCGCCCAAAACAAAAATGGAAGTGAAAACTCATGCCAAATTAAATAAGATTACTTACTTAAAGGAGGAGGGGATTTTTGACCCCTAATATTCAAAACCCAGACCCTAAATAACATTATAGATCTACAATGATCAGTTTTCAGCTTTTATCTCACTCTCATGCATCCTGCACTTAGAATACTCAGCACAAGACTATTTATGGAAAAATAAATATATAATAATAATTCAACTCAACATATTTTCCAGATATAAATATTTCTTTGATAAAGTTCTCAGCTTCAGTTGGGCTTTTAAAGAGTCTTTTCTGCCCTGCATGCTTAGTTCTGTGTCACGGAGACGCTTCTCCCAGACAGCGGCGCTGAAATCTGGATATAGGAAAAACCTCTTCCCGTTGAAGCTCAGGTCACTTTGATCTTTTGTTGATAACTCATAAATTTAAGAATGATCGTTCTCCCTGCTTGGACAGAAGAATCTGGTCATTCATGGATTCGGTGGGCACTCTCCACCATCAGCGGCTCTGTGTCCTGTCCCAGGTCCAGGGCATGAGCCAGGAGCCGCACACATTCTATCAGTTCTTCTTAATAATAAGTCAGTTTTGGTCCAGAAATTGTTGATTGTAGAAAAAACACTTATTCACTCACAGTGAAGATACTGATCATCACTGTGTTCAACACATCAGTCTGTCTACTTTTAAATCTAAATTGAATCTCTGTGCAGCCAGATATAATACCTGTTTTTCTAGTACTTACAGAGCCACTCAAGGACCATTTGCAGTTATTAATGCCCTCCTCTATTAAAAAGCTACACAGATGTACTGCCCATTTGACACTGTCATGCAACAGTTGCCTTAAAAAAACCTGAGGAGATATACTTTTTTTAAAATTCTTAATTTTTCTCTTGTTAATTGATGTTTATATCGTTATGATGACAGGTCTGAAAACCCTGAACACCCCTGCCGTCACCTATACAGTTACTTGGGGTGGCTGTGGCTCCGAGGCAGAGCGGGTCGTTCCTTAATCGGAAGGTTGTGGGTTCGATCCCCAGCTCCTGGTGCCACATGTCGAAGTATCCTTGAGCAAGATACTGAACCCCAAATTGTGTAAAAGAATGTGTATGAATGTTAGTTTCTGTTCAATGGACTATGAATGTTAGTTTCTGTTCGATGGACTTTGCCATCACTGACTGAATGTGTGTCAAAGGGTGAATGTGGCATGTAGTGTAAAAGTGCTTTGAGTGGTTGGAAGACTAGAAAGATGCTATACAAGTACAGGTCCATTTACCATTTACTTCCACTGTAGCCCTGCATTTACAGTGATACACTACCGATTTTGCAGGTTTTCACCTACCAGCCAGTAAGAATTCCAGCTCTCACAGACCTGTTAGTTTTTCTATAAGAAGCCTTCCTGTTCTCCACTCATTACCTGTATTAACTGCACCTGTTTGAACTTGTTACCTGTATAAAAGACACCTGTCCACACACTCAATCAAACAGACTCCTACCTCTCCACAATGGCCAAGACCAGAGAGCTGTGTAAGGACATCAGGGACCAAATTGTAGACCTGCACAAGGCTGGGATGGGCTACAGGACAATAGGTAAGCAGCTTGGTGAGAAGGCAACAACTGTTGGCGCAATTATTAGAAAATGGAAGAAATTCAAGTTGACGGTCAATCTCCCTCGGTCTGGGGCTCCATGCAAGATCTCACCTCGTGCGGCATCAATGATCATGAGGAAGGTGAGGGATCAGCCCAGAACTACAAGGCAGGACCTGGTGAATGACCTGAAGAGAGCTAGGACCATAGTCTCAAAGAAAACCATTAGTAACACACTACGCCGTCATGGATTAAAATCCTGCAGAGCACGCAAGGTCCCCCTGCTCAAGCCAGCGCATGTCCAGGCCCGTCTCAAGTTTGCCAGTGACCATCAGGATGATCCAGAGGAGGAATGGGAGAAGGTCATGTGGTCTGATGAGACAAAAATAGAGCTTTCTGGTCTAAACTCCACTCGCCGTGTTTGGAGGAAGAACAAGGATGAGTACAACCCCAAGAACACCATCCCAACCGTGAAGCATGGAGGTGGAAACATCATTCTTTGGGGATGCTTTTCTGCAAAGGGGACAGGACGACTGCACCGTATTGAGTATTGATCTCGTATTGATCTTGCCAACAACCTCCTTCCCTCAGTAAGAGCATTGAAGATGGGTCGTGGCTAGGTCTTCCAGCATGACAACGACCCGAAAACATAGAGCCAGGGCAACTAAGGAGTGGCTCCGTAAGAAGCATCTCAAGGTCCTGGAGTGGCCTAGCCAGTCTCCAGACCTGAACCCAATAGAAAATCTTTGGAGGGAGCTGGAAGTCCGTATTGCCCAGCGACAGCCCCGAAACCTGAAGGATCTGGAGAAGATCTGTATGGAGGAGTGGGTCAAAATCCCTGCTGCAGTGTGTGCAAACCTGGTCAAGAACTACAGGAAATGTCTAATCTCTGTAATTGCAAACAAAGGTTTCTGTACCAAATATTGAGCATAGCGTTAGTTCAGGCAGGGCACGAAGTCAGGCTTAGCTTTCAGTTACAGCTATATCATACGATCACAGCTAGTCATAAATATACATCAGCTGATTCCTCTAAGCTTCCCATTGGATACCATACACAGTCAGCTGACAGCTCACCTGATTTCCTCAAGCATCCAATTGGCAAACATCTACATGGCGCCTTATTTAAGCTGCTTTAGCCTGCTTTAATTTGAAAAGGTGGCAAAATGTTCAACACAGCCACCTGATCAAGGTTCTGCACTGAGCATAACTTGACAGCTTTAATTACATTTTCAAACTTTTAAAGAGTGACATTTGGATCATTTACTACATTATGGTGGCCTAACTTGATCTAGTGCTCAAGTTAATCCTACTTTTCTTTAAAGACTGTTGGCAATACTAGCTGAAAAACCAGTCAATAATGCAGTCAATCTACAGAATTAATTAATATCCATGTTGCAGCACCTGTGGACAAAAGTGGTAGTGTTTCTACCACCTTGTTGAATTGATGTCAAGGGGAATCCGACCAAATCTGACCCGTTGGCAGGCATTAACAGTAACTGTTAGAAATAGCCAATTTTCTCACTGATTGACTTTATGTAGGTCATATAGGTAATATAAAAACTTCTTGTAGTATGTGTGAGTAAAAGACACAAGTACTTCTTCCACCATTGTTAAATTGTGAGCCTAGGAAGGGTGGTAGGTGTATTTTAAAATGATGAAAAAGCATGCTTTAGAGTGGGGCTGCACAATAAAACAGATTGCGATATGATTCACAATTAGTTTGGGAATCATAATATTTTTCCATCACAATTTTTATTTTCACTGAAGAAACCCAATTAAAATCATGATGATGTGACATTTGTTGGGGTCTGTCACATTTGACTTTTAGCAAAACATTGTAGCTTCTGCGATATTGCCCTTTAGATAACATTTCAATTATTTATTAGGGATCGAGCACTGACAAAGTGCAATACCCTATTGTTTTACTTGGAATTATTATTATAATTATTATTATTATTATTATTATTATTATTATTATTTTCTGCTCCTACAAACGCATATTTGGAGGCTTACATGTGCTCAAAACTCATGACACGCGGCACACATGGCGAGTCGTGGCGAAAAATTCGGTATTCTATGCGTCAATTTTGGGTTGGCCATTAGGTGGCCCTACTATCATGAAAAGTGCGTTTAGGCTAATAACTCACCCAATAACATACCCAAAATCCCACAGGAAGTCAGCCATTTTGATTTAAAATTTCAATTTCAGCGACTTTTCGCCTTGTATTTGACCAAACTCCTCCTAGGAAATTTATTGGATATGCTTCAAAATTTGTGAGTACAGTCAAAAAATGGTTCCGATTAAAGGTTGTGCTATTTGTGCATGTACGTTGAAGGGCGTGTCCGTGGCGTGCCGTCAAAGTTGGCCATTTTGATTTTTTTGAGGGTTTTAAAGTTTGCCAGGTTGAATCGAATGTCAAACTGTTATGCCATTTCCAGCATTTAAGGGCTTCTGTTATGACTAACTCCTCCTACAGATTTTATCAGATTGACTCCAAATTTAATCATTGCAATCTAGACACATTGGCGATCAAAACTTGTGCTATTTGTAACTGTAAGTTTAACCGTGTGTCCGTGACGATGTGTCAAATTCCACCCATTGGCCATCAAACAGATAGTACTCATATCTTCAGTGTACAGTCCCACCCTGAACACGTCCTCACAACTTCAGTGTATATGATCCAATCTCAATGAAACTCTACATGACAATATTCAGACATAGTGATCGCACCACCTACTTGCAACAGTAAGTAAGCGCGGCGTGGCGTTTTTGAGCTGATTTACGTGAAATTTTCATGTTGGGGGTTGCAATGAATCTTCACATGTCTGTTAAGAGTCCCGCCCTGAAAACATAGTGATAGTGCCACCTAGTGGCAACAGGAAGTAAGTGCTGCGTGGCAATTTTGAGCTGATTTACGTGACATTTTCATGTTGTGGTCCGCATTTGTTACGACGGCACGTGACGTGGCCGCAGCACACCCCAGCAGCTTGTGACGAGTCTGCAGCACACCCCAACGCGCGCCGGTTGCGAGATCCCGTTCAACGCTGCTTGCAGCTTTAATTTGTTATTTTATTTCTATGTGTTTTAAAACCGTTAATGGATACTGACACCAAATTGAACCTCATGTCACCGATCCTTCTGTGGCATCTTTACACATCACAGAAAAAATATATTGCTGTTACTACACACTACATTATGCCCTGTAAAAACAAAGATCAGCAAACAGCAGCAAACTGAACAGACACTGGAATCCATGGCTGTGATTTATTATATGATTAAAGACATCATTTCAAACACTGTACCATACATTATTATATCATCATTCACAACTTATTGGGTAACCCAAACAAATGACTTGTTTAATTTAATTAGAATGTTTCTATGCTGCAGACAGTACACTGCAGTATAGTAGCTAGCATGGTCATGTAAGTACCTCATGGCAAAAAAGCAACAGTAAAAGTTGACAATCACTAATAATAATGGTCCCAAAAAAGAGGCTTGCTTCAGCCTGTAGGAGATAATAACCCTACTTGATACAGATGAACTGTAATCAACAACAGAATGAATAGAATAAAGATAGACAAGTGTGGGGGAAATCGTTTGTTAAACAATACTACTTGATGAGCCGGCGCTATTCAGGTTAATGGAGGTTTGGAGCCTGTTCCAGCATGCACTATGATATCCTGGCCAGTACACCATCAGAGGGCTGACACAGAGACAAACAATTGTACACACACACACACACCGCAGACATGTTGAAGTTGGCTATAGAACCAGCTAGACGTATAGAGTTAGTCTGTGCACATACCTGTCTAGGTGCTTTCTCTGGGCTAGCTAGCCAACTAACTTACTAACTTTACTTTTGATGAACTTTACTAGAAAAAAAAACATTTGATGAGTTGGAAACGTTGTCGTGTTATCAATGTTGATGTCAGATTTGGCTAGGTCGGAATATTAACTCTTCCATCTTTGCACACTACGTATAACCACCACAGGTAGGGATAGGAATTGATAAGATTTTATTGATACCAATACCATTATTGATTCTGCTTATGAGTGCGGTTCTTGGTGATTTGTCAATAGGGCCCAGAGGTAACTTCATTTATGACCATCCTCTTTGCTGATTTGCTGGAAATTGAGGACTCTGGAGACTCCCAATTCCTGGATATAGACCACCACTCCCTAACTCTCAAGCCCAAACCAGGAGCTCCTCTGCAGCCAGTGACAACAAATGTTATAAAGAGTTCGGTCTAGACCTGCTCTATTTGAAAAGTGTTTTGAGATAACTTCTGTTATGAATTGGAGCTATACAAATAAAATTGAATTGAACTGAATTTAATTAACAGCTTGTAAGGGAAAAAGCCCCACTGAGCTTCCGCAGCCATCCATTGCACATTTTCCTGGACTTCACGGTGGACTTCACCAAACAGAG